TTGCACAACATATTTTTTTAAATGATTGTAATAAAAAAAAACAACGCTTCGTCCACCGTGATCAGTACCTCAAAGACCTGTGCTTTCGAGAACTTTTTACAACCGATTTTGAAAGTTCGAAACCCTATGAGCTCACACCTTTCAAAAGCTAAATCACCGAAACTTTTAATCTGACCGGATTTAAAATTTAGGATAATATCTGATGGTGTTGTAGAAATTAATAAGATAATAAAAAAATTATATTTTGAAACTGCGAAGCCCGTGTATCTTGAAAGCGCTGTCAAAGGATTTGGCAGATAAGCCATTGTGAATTAGTTTCCCGAAAATATCAAGAAAGTAAGAATGTATGAACCTCGAATTTTTTTTATTTTCATGTGCGAATCAAAATCAACTAATTGCTGCCCCCGATTGCTGAATTTTAAGAAAAACAAGTACATTTGAAATTAAATCGATCGCGAAAGGAGAATCACAAAGCTTTTCGGAAAATAGTTAAAGTTCAGCACAAGAAACAGAACGATCGGAGGATCTGACATATTTGAACCTTTTATTCAAGCAAAACAATTTAAACTACTCATTTGCAGTGATGTTTAACTAAAATTTGCATATTTGTTTTTTTTTTTTCAACGAACACCACTGTGCAGCGGATACTAACAAGAATGAAGTAATTCCAAATAACGAAATAATGCAAAAAATATGTAATAATAACGCAAAATGAGGTGTGTAATGAATTGTGAGTTAAAAAAAGAAAATACAGAAAATATTTGTGTCATTGGCACATTTGCGTAAGGATTTTTGAAATAGTTTTGAAATGATATATTACCGTATTTGGTGTAATATATGTACGTGTATGTATGAATATTGCTTTCAATCGCTTTTCTCCCTTTATGCAGTTTCAGGCGAAAACTTTATTAAAACTCACTGTTATTCAATATTGTACAATGGACACATGAATTTCGAAATTTCGAATATCCAACCAAACTCTTATACCTGCATACATACATACATACACGTACATACATACACGTATGTGCATAGTGGGGGCCAATGGAATTTCTACTGAAATCAGTTTTATTAAATTATGTGACAAAAAGCGCACTCGAGCAACAATAATTTCAAAATAATGCATAATATTCATAAAATTCATAATAAACAGCAATCATTGCGTTCATACGCATGCGATTATGTATGTTTGTTTGTAACATCGTGAAATCATATTCAAAAAGGCATTGAAATAATTGAAATCGCATGTCAATATATCCCTAATATCCCAAATCGCCCGTTATCCTCACACATAATGCGCTGTAACAGTATGCGTATGTATGTATGTGCATACTTATTTATATTTTGATTTGAACTCTCATCGCAGTTGTTGCCCATAACTATTCATTATTGGTCCATTGAACGGTTGCAGGGACAAAACGTGCGTAAAAGGGTCACCAGTCAACAAAAAGTGTAGTGGCAACAACAACAACAACAACAACAACAACAACAACAAAAGCAAGGAGGAAATTCAAAAAAGTGTAAAAATATGAAAATATATTGCAGAGAGAGAGAGAGAGAGACGACTCTCCGCACTCACATACATACACACATGTACATATGTATGTACATAATTTCAAATTATCATATTTTCAGATTTCAATTATTTGTTTGCTGCTGTGCGAAGCCAAGGCTTGCTGTTTAACGCCTTTGTCTTCAGCGAAAGGATTCACATACAACAAACACACACGTACAGGACGAAAGCATACCGGGCCATGAAAGGGTTGGCTGGTTGCATTACATTCACGACGCAGTTTCAATTTCCACGCAAACAATATTTGCAATAATTTAATATTGAAACTATCAAAGATTTATAACGGTAAGTGCGAGTGTTTCCTGTTTGTTGTCGCCGCCATCGACCGCCACCCAGACAGTCACTTTGTCCGTTCTCCGTCCATGGGCCGATTGTGAAGTGCGAACGTTGCGGATGCGCTGGACCGATGCAATATCCTTCCTTCCTGCCAGCGCAACTATTTCTGTTGCACACACACTCGCGCACGCATACATACCCATAGCCATTCATGTAAGAATATATTATATTCGAAAATAGCACAACGCGTGACCCCATGTGGCATGTGGCATGAAGCCAGCGCTAGTTTACCCCATTTGTAATACAAAAAAGAGTTTTGATAATATTTATTATTTATTTACTTGTTCATCGACATCCTTGAGATGGAAGTTAAAGGGTTTTTGTACTCGTACGAGCATGTCAGACCGCACGCAGATTATCAATGACATTATTTATTGTAATTTTAACCTTTTAGTAGAGCTGGGCAATCGCAAACTCTCGTATAAATAGACAACTTTGCAGCTCATTCAAACTCCTGATTTGTCTGTCTGTCGGACAGGAACTGAATTTTCGCCATTTCCACCTAAGAGGTTCCGAATAATGACTCAAGTTAGCAAGGGGTTCGATCGCAAAAAGCTCCGTTAAGCCATTTGGTTGTATTCGAAACGAGCGATTTGTACGGATTGAGCTTTGGTTCGGTATTTTATGCGCCCAACGCACCACGGCAAATCGATACGACGCGGAATGCAAGATCCACCCTCGAGCAGATCCATCAAATAGGAAGTGTTGGAAAAAGATGTTTGATCGAAATATTTGTTTGCACATTTAAGTTTAGTCGAAAATGTATATCCCTGCAGAACTTAAACGCCCGTTAAATTGTGTCTGAAGCTCGATTGCATTAGAAGGACTCTTCGGGGCCGTTGCGTGCCAAAAGAGAATTCAAACATCGTTATACTCTACATGCTTTGCAAAGGGACGAACTGAGCTGGACTTAGATTATTATCGAAAAACCTATTGATGATACAAAAGCTTGTTCATTTCAACTTCATATGCTTTCGGTTTGTCAGTTAGGAGTTCCGCACAGCCCAGTTATGGGAAGTATGGGAATGTTTCGAGAATTGCAAATGCAACAAATACCTTCAATAGTTTTTTAAAAAATGGCTGAAATTGGAATTTCTAATAGAATTAGCCGACGACAGCGAAAAGATTTATTGCAATTCGAACAATTAATTGGGTCTGTCAGAGAAATTCTCAATTCAACATCAACAATGGCCCGACTCAAAATGCCACAAAGCCACAAAAGCTCTGCAAGACAAGACGGCTGACAGGTCACCCCGACCATCAGACCAAATGTCAAGCGCTACAATTGCTAATATCGAAAGCAACAACGCCAGCAACACAAAAACATTTCCCTTTGACAAGCGGAAACGGAAGTCGGCGAAAAGCGCTGCGCTCTGCTATCACTTTGCCTCATCTCGCGGCATAAAACCTTATTATTATTATTATTGTTGTGAAAGTGAATTTTTGTGCGACCAACAAAAGGCTAAAAGTTTCCCCTTTAACAAGACAAGTGATATTCCTTCGCACATACACATCACACACACGTGGTACGTTGCTCGTATGTATGTGTGGGAACAATGCATAAATTTCATAGCAAACAAATTGCGTCACTTTCGATTCACCAGAGACTTGGGCTGATGAGCCCATTGACAGTAGGCCAAATAATCGTGCGGCCTCCGCCCCCGCAGGTTGCTGCCGCGTCAAAGGTGTAAGGTGGATTAATAAACATGATTTTTTACGAGGTGTATAGGGTTAATCGAAAATTTGCATATCGCGAAGGGGTCGCAGCATATGGGGGCATACTAGTGTACAACATATGTATGTATTTCCATGTGCCTGCATGCATGACATGTACGAAGTGAAGTGTTAGTGATTTGGAAATTTATTGCCGGTTTCATTAAATTTAATTCAAGTGGGAAGTGCTGCACCGAGGGGCGTGGTTGAGAGTGTATTGGCGCCAGCTTATCATCAATTCCGTGAAAATAACAGTATTAAGGCTGCAAAATGAGTTCCATAATATAATTTCGAAATAAATAAGTTTGCAAAGTCGCGCATTTCGAAGACTCTTGCTCCCGGTTGTTGTTTTCGCAGTCGCGGCAGATCTCGCTCTTTCGGGTAACAGTTAGAGATCACCACGGGGAGAGAATGTTAATAAAATGAGAACGCGCAAATGTTAGGCAGAGAACTTAGAATAATATAATAATAATCTGTCATGCATTATATACATACATACATCAAAGCACATGCATAAAGGCTAAAGTTCCTGCTTTCTTCAATCGGCTGTTTCTCTGACTTCTAATCAGAGAACGTAATTGTTGTACATCCTGCAAGAAGGCTTAAAATCATTTGAACCACATTATTATTAATTTTTTACTTATTTAAAATTTATCTACAATTATTTTTTTAATAATCCTACTTAATTGGGATGAATCACAATGTTATGTTATGCAGAAAATTAACGTCACGTTATTTTGTCCCTAAGCTAAGCTTAGATTTTGACCCAACGCCGACGTTCTACGTTCTAGGTTTTTCTACGAAATAAGTTAGTTACAAAGTGAACTCGTTGGCGTGAATTAAATTAATTAAAAAAAATTAAATTAACTACTTTTTATGGATGGGGATTATTTATTACTTATTTACGTATAATTTATTTCCCTTGCCTTGACCTTAGTACTAATTTAATTTAATTTAATATACTTTATTTATTTATTTATTTAAATTTTGAATTATTTTAACAATTTTTACTTTATTTAATGCTATTTTATTTTATTTATTTTGCTTTTTTTATCAATTTTAATTCATTTAATTTAATTTCTTCTTGCAAAAAATTGAGTGCGATATTGCTTTTTTGCCAGTTCCCTATCGGGTCGCGTCTTCAATTTCGACTGGTTCCCATTGGGTCTTGTATGCGCTAAGCGATCCGATTCTCTGGTAACACTTGAAATAATTGTCGGTAATGCAGTTTGATTTTCCAAGTCACTGCAAACACAGCGCCATCTGAATATTAGTTCCTTCCAACGCCGCACTTCAGGTGTCGCTGTAATCATTCGTCATAGAACGTACAGAGAACGTATATACGTTCTCTGCCTTCTCGTTGTATTTACGTTCTCTGATGACACATTCACAAAACAGCTGTTTTCTTTGAAACTGTCAACATATCTCTGCTCGTCGCGTAACTCTAAATATTTTGTAATAAATAGTCCATAGGGGTGTAGACAGAATGCTTCGAATCATTGGGACTGTTGTGCGGAGTGGTAAATAATCACAAATTTATAATAAGATAAGGAGTTCAAAATATTTTTCATTAATATTTATTACAGCTGCTTCAAGCACCCGTTCGATCGTAACCCCATTTTCCAGCACCACGCTTGTTCAACGAAATATATCCGCACCAGTTCAGAGTGATGAGCCTATTGATATTCCAAATCCTTATGAGAAAGAACGCCGGGAGTGTATTCTGTGCAAACACAATATAGTACCAAACTATAAAAATATAAAACTTTTGTCACAGTTTCAATCGCCTTATACAGGCCGCATTTATGGCCGACATATCACCGGTTTATGTAAACAAAAACAAGAGCAGGTTGAAAAGGCGATCATTCGAGCACAAAACTGCGCGCTAATGCCCACATATCATAAGGATATGGACTTCTTTCAAGATCCCCGCTTATTTGACCCAGAAAAACCCGTACGCCCACATAAATACTAAAGGCTTCAGCAATATTTTTAGTGTGAGTTACTACTCTTTACCGTGCTTAATATGAAATAAACTGGACAACAATGGGAATGATATTGTTTTACTTTACAAATGCAAATGTGTCCTGTATTTTTTCCAAAGCTCTTGCAAAATCGGCCTTCCATTCTTCCACAGCCTTATTTAGTTCTGCAATGCGTTGGGAATGCTGCTTTCGTCGTTCGAGCTCCTCTTGGACATTTTTTATTTGCTCCAATAAAGACTCTTTTGTCACCTTTAAATTCTTATCCTCCTCCGTTATATATATGTTTTCATCTTCTTCTTTGTCACTCTCTTCGGGCGGAATGTTCAGTTCCATAATTAATTTTGATCCAACAAATCCCGTGTCCTCATTTGAAATATTAAGTTCCTTTTCTTCCATCATATAAGCAGCAGAAAGGGTTTTTGATAACAAGGTTACTGATTTTGTATGCAAATAAGCACAAACTTAAAATTTGATGTACGTGTACAATTTTTGGAAGTATAGATATCCCATAAAAAAGGCTTTAATGCGATCCTAGAATTTAATGTCCTTTTGAATGAATGAATTTATTTTTTAATATACTTTAAGAAAATAGTTTAGTGGTTTTTTTTATGAAATTTTGAAATTAATTTTAAAAATTTTATTATGATGAAATAGAAATTTGTTCACAATTTTATTTGTGATCTTTGGAATGTACTGCTTTTTTTTAGCAAGCGACATATAAATGTATATCGACCAAATGTCGACAGTGGATTTGATATAATATTTTTATAAAATGTTATTAAAAGTCTCCACACAACTTGAAAGTCTATATAGTAAGAAGGCAAAATATAATAAATCGTTGATTTTTAAATGGCGATTGAAAAAAAATAGGTGAGGGTGAGGTAGAATGGGTTTTGACATTCCAACCGTTATACAAACAAAATAAGTAGACTCTTTTTTTGTAATATTACCAAAGAACGTATATTAATATAATTATTATATATATTAATTAATATACGTTCTTTGATATTACTCTTAGAATTGCTGTGTGATTTTGCCTTCAGGGCATTAAGAGAAAACGTTTAGTTCGAAATACAGTCTTTAAGCTGGTGTAGACGCCTTATTAGTCAGGCTAATCTGATATTCAGCCTTTTTGCTGAATACTAGTTAAAGATGTCAGAGAACGTATAACATACATACGTTCTCTGAAGATGTCATTTGTCAAAAACAGCACCTGACAATCCAAGATTAAATAAGGAATAGCTAACAGTATATAACAGAAATTGTTTCAAAGTTAATATTGTGCGGAAGCTTAAATTGTTTGCATTATTTACTTTCGTACTAAGTATTAGTGTTTTTATGCGTTTGTTTATTAGTTTTACAAATACTGTTGTGAACAAAACCAGTAATTGAAAGGCTGGGGTGAGGCTGAATAAGCGTAATACTGGTAATGAGTAAAGCGAATAATAGAGTGACGGATAGAATTGACGCCATCTTTTAACATATGTATGAGATTAATTATCAAAGAGAAAAGTGCTTGAATATTGAAAAATTTTTCTAAATGAGCTTGATTAATTTTCTGAACTCAAAACTAAAACCCTCCGTTGAATGTGAAGCACTATGTGAAGATGGGTATTCGGCAAACAATTTGATAGCAGACGATGCGGAACAGCTGTCACGCGGCTTTATGGCGTATGCCGTCACTAAACCCCCCGTAGAGATTGTTTTTGAATTTCCAAAAGCTGTAGAAGTGAAGGTCATCAAGTTATGGAATAGTAATGGTGCTTTACGTTCAACAGCCTTTGAGCTGCATGGCAAGTTCGAGGGTATTTGGGAGCGAGTTGCCTACGCTCGTGACCTTGCTGAATGCGTCGAATCTGTGACCTTTTGCTATCAGAGCGATTATAATTCTCGCAGCAATGCCGAAAGTGATGCCGCTCAAGCGCAAAGCAAAAAGGCGTTTTTCTTCAAGACGGCTCACCGCTTGCTTGCAAACGCAAGTAGTCTGAAGGTGATAGTGTGTGCAACAAAACGAAGTCCCCCTTTATTGCGGAAAATCGAGGTATGGGGTTTACCCTCACGGTCATTGGAAAAAGCAGATCGGGAACTTGTAAAAACAATATGGAGTGAAATTGTAAATCCACATGGTTTTCGCACACCAACAGACCGCAACCAACGCTCGCCATCACGAAGTGTGCCAGAGTTAAATGAGTACTCAACATTGAAAATACCAGAAGAGTTCCTGGATGAAATCACTTGGGAATTGATGGTTAGAACATTTTTTAATAACGATTATATTCAATTATTTTCATAAATTTTTTTTTTTTTTTTTTTTAGATTTTTCCCACTGTGCTCCCCTCAGGTAAAATTGTGGACCAATCCACTATTGATAAGCATTCTGAAGTGGAGGCCAAATGGGGTCGTTTGCCATCGGATCCATTTACGGGCCTCGAATTTACCTCACACCGGAAAGCCATTCTTAACCTCGCTCTCAAAGCCCGCATTGAGAAATTCCTAATGGAAAACTCGGAACATTTTAAAACAGTACCACGTTGTTTGGGCAGTTCCTTTGTTCGCCGAAGCAAAAATCGACATGCATCACAATTCGCTAATTTATGCCAACGTCAAACTTCATCAGCCGGAACCTATTCATCACTATCAGCGGCGTTTTATAAATCTTCATCACAAGCCTCGGCTACAGCTACACTGTCATCGCCAATATTGCCCTCAAAACGGCCAAGGCTTAGTGACAATGCAACATATCGTCCAGAAACATTATCCGTAACAACTACAACACAAACTACATCTAGCACTGCATTGTCATTTTCGACCAAGTCAATACCACATTCAACAGCAGCTTCCTCAGCTTTGTCTACAGCGTCTTCCACCGCAATAACAAGTGGCATCGAACACGCCATTCAAGAAGCGTTAAAAAATGTTACGCGTTATACACACCCGGCAGCAGAAACAAAGCCTGCTACTTGTATTCGCTGCAAAACGGAAGATTTTTCATATGAAATTATAACTTGTGGCCATCTTGTTTGCCGGTCTTGCCTAGGGCAGTTGACTAAGGATGAAATGTGTACATGCAAAACCACTTTTAGAACAATCGATGTGGAGCGTTATCATAAGTTGTAGATGTCGAAAATTTTGGCACAGGCCGTACAAGAACTGATTACTAGGAATGCAATCAAATTTTTATGTTGATCTTATAGTTTGGCTCATTTGTTCGGTCACTGTTATGAATCGTTGGCGAGTATAACTGCGATTTGGCTAAAATAAATATTATGCCATTTATGATGTCTCTGGCAGGCATAATATTTCAGAATGCTCAATTAGGGCATTACTAAAAGGCTTTAATGGAACAGGTTTTGTGATTCATACGCTTACGTTCATAAATACAAATATGTTGTATGTATGTTTTAATTTTTGTAATATTAATTTTCCAACGATTTGTAACAGCTCTCGGATCGTTATTTTAGTCTCAGGCTAGATTTAAGTACCATTTAAAAACCACGAAATAAATACAAAATTACAAGAATTGTGTGCTTTTGAAATTGATTTCTGTTGTGGAACATGTTAGATCTTGAATAGTACATACTTATATAAAGTATACACACGGATGTGTAACTGCAGATATTTAAAAATGTATATTTTATTATGTTTGTAGGTACATTACAAGAAGGAGGACATTTTTATTTATAAATCTTATTTGAATTTTCTCTTTCATATGTGAGCATATTAATTTTACGTATTTTCCCTCCTCCATATTTAACATCTCCATTCCTTGAAACCACGCGATGGCAAGGTATGACTATGGATACTTCGTTACTGCCTACGGCAGTTCCCACTGCACGCACAGCATTTGGTTTCCCTATTCGCTTTGCGATATCACTGTATGTGCATGTCTGACCAGAAGGTATGTTTATTAGTTCCTTCCATACATTCTCTTGAAAAGGAGTTCCACCTACTATTACGTTTAGAACCTGTGCTTCATCACTAAAGATTTTATCGGCTAGAATTTTTGCTAGAGCCACATCTTCATTAAGCAAGGCTTCTGGCCACCGTCGCTGCAATAATACCTCATAATTTTTATTCTCTTTATCATGACTTTCCGCAAAGTGCAAATAGCAAATTGCATTTTTCGAATCCGTTAAAAATCCCAGCACGATGTCTCCAAACCGGCTACCTACCAAGCCATAAGATATCCTAATGGGTTTATTTTTGCCGAAAGTTTTAAAAATAACTTGCTTGGAATTTAGCATTTGTTGAAAATATTGTTGCGAAAATGCGAGGCGAATGTCAGATGAAAGAGAGAAGCCGATAACACAAGAACCTTCCATAGCGAACAATTCGATGCTTCTACGCTTTCGTCTGCGAGCAGCCGACTGCTATATAAAGGCGACACTCAGCTGCAAGTCAAGCAGTGACAAAGCAAATTGGTTGGCGTTAACATCAGTGAAGACGTAAAGTGAACGCGTTGGGAATTACATTTAAGTAGAGGAAATTGTGAAAGTTGATGTTAGTGATTATAAATAGTAAAGTGCAGTATAATTGAATTGTGAATTACTGAGAGAATAAAGGACATTAGATAGAATCTTTATAACGAAAGAAGCTGCAAACTAAGTTGGCGAGTTTTTATTTAACAATCCAGAGATCGTACCCGAAGGATCTAGAAAATAATCGAGGTTGATTCAGTAAAATCGTAACAATATTTTAGAAATACTCATAAAAATTGTGTGAATTTATTCAGTATAAAATAAACGCTGAAAACATCCGCTCTCTCTGTTGTAGCTGATGTCAGCTGTTGTTGTTTCTCATACCATTACTTAGCGCTGCCGGATGTATTGAAAGTCTTAAAATAATTAATGGTCATAAAAATAAACGTTAGCTTTTTCAAGAGGAGTTAGGAGTTGGTTTAAAAGCTACGCTACAACCACATAACCAGTTGGAGGAGGTTTGACCAATGCTACGTCAACGTAGTTTCTTTTAAAGGAATAAAATATTTATTCCAAGTTAATATATTGCATTTAATGATTTACTAGCTATTACTAAATATTTATTAACCCGGGTGATATATTAGAAAATTGCTTATTATGCAAATAAATTAAAATTGTTCTTCTTTTTATAAATGGGAAGAAAGGAAGAGAAGTCTGAGAGAAAACTATGTTCCATTGAGTAGGACAGGGAAAATAGCAAAAAAGTTGAAATGCATCACCTTTTAGATCTTCGTGTAAAAATTTTAATACACATTTCGCTAACATTGATTCCTCTGACTCGCATTTCTGTATCAAAATCTACTTACTGAGAGCTTCATGCAGTTAAGTAAGTTAAGTAAATTCCTTATCCTTTCTCCCATGTAATTTTATAGCAGTTGATGATAACGCTGGGTTCGTTGTCAAAAAAAAAAGTTAATAAATAGATCAATTCAATATTGGCAAAGGTTGTACTTAAATGTATGAGATTCCCTTGTAAGATTGAAATTTTGTTAGCAATGGGATTGATTTTCGTATTTACATGCTCTAAGTGCAAAACAGTCTTCTGATGTCATTGGAAATAATAGAAAAACAGTAACTGCTTCAAAATCTGAATAGCCTTTTCCATATTGGTCATCTCGCAGAAGGTTTAAGACAGCGAAAATTCTGTGCATTTCGATGGGTAAGATAATTTAGAACGAATAAATCAATTGATATCACCTTGGGAATACTCTCCTTTATTAGCGTGTGCACCGCTTACGGGATTATAGATCGTCCCTTCTCTTCGTTGTTTGCGGTTAGTAGGGAATTTGAAGTGAAACCAAGTCGCTCTCCACTGGATATCTTTCTATTCCTCTGCTTCCACCGATAGTTTCTGTATCGAAAACTATCAAAGCTGAAGCACTCTCTTTATTCGCCATTGGCAAGGTGCAGAGGTCCATAAATCGTTCGCAAAACTTTTCTCCCGAGTACTTCCAGCGCCGACTCATTGTAAGTTGGCATTCACCACATAGCTGGACGGGAATGATTAGTGGCTTGTGGAGTTTGGATTTCCTTCGCCGAGAGAGGACTTTACTTTTCAATGGGGTGCCCAGCCGTAAGAGTGTCGACTGTTTGTTTGATGGCAGTAGATATTTCGGCTTGTCCTCGTTTCCACAAATTGGTTTCACTTCTTTATCAAGTCTGGAGAGTGCAGAACTAACGCGCTATTGTCAAGGCATATGATTTTAAAGCCATAGGCATTCGTGACTAGTTGTACACTCTTGTAAAATACCTTTTTCTAATTTGTAAAGGTCTTATTATTTTTCCCAGCTACACAACAGATCGAAGAGGTCCTTCGAAATTCTGACTGTGCTTCTGGCGTTGTCCCCATAGCCGTATGAGTTTTGTAGGTATAGCAATTCAGGCATAAAATGCAGCTTTAAATACCGATGAACAGGTAATGTGCATCGCTTCTTTTCCAGGATTTGCGTGCTGAGAATACCTGGTCTATGGTGAATTTACAGGGTCTAAAGCCACACTGATAAGGTACAATTAGTTTGTTGACGTTGGGTTTCATGCGACATTAGAAGGCTAGTCCCACGGACCGTGGGGTGACCTTTTATATGGATAGGGCAGAGCCCACTTTCGATCTGCGGGCAAGCTTTCATCGGAGCATATTCTGCGAAGAAGCTGATGCAATCACCATGTCAGCTTTTTACCATCAAGTCTAAGTAGCTCACACATCCACGATAAGCCATCCGCTCCAGTCGCCGTGTTATTCTTTAAGCGGGCAATCGCTTTTTGGGCGCGCCTTCCTGGGTGTTGTATTTTCACTGCCATTCAGCAGTATGCTCTGGACTTCGGTCACCAGATCTCCAAATTGCTGGCAACATGAGTATACTACGGTCTTGAAACCATCTATTAGTAGCCGCATCCTTTCAAAGAGTTTTCGAGCGTTACCCTTGCCCGCCAGCCTCAAGCTCTCCATACTTATGCATTTCGGCTTCTTTCTTTTTTCGTCCGCAAATGCGTCCATCTATCCCGCATATGTTATGATCGATCGCAAGGTTGCAAGGTAGGCAGTCTGTTTTCTCTTCTTAATTATAATTCATGAGTCACAAGTAATATATTTTATAATGTAAATACTCACATACATATATACTTAGGTATGCATATAAAAAACAAATAACCCATGTACAAACAAAGAAATGAAATAATGGTATACTTCATGAGTGTTTTCAAGCACCTCTCATGCCTTTCTGGTAATTTTAAAAACAAGATGGCAACATTACTAAATATAACGGCCAGGAACTAACGGCTATTGCTTCATTTCCTGTGGAAGAGCAAGTCATATTTCCATCAGTTTATTAAAAAAAAAACAAGCAAGAAAATCAAATTACTTTCACGATGTTTATGGTTTTGTGTAATAAATGCTTTTGGCCAAAAACTGTTGAGAACAAAAACAAATTTTACTTGTCAAATTGTGGACATATCTATTGCGAGCAGTGCGTGCCTACAGGGCCATGTCACTTATGCAACCAGCCTTACGTATCTCGAGTGGTCGATGCCAATATGAGTAAAGCAATGGCAGTTTATTTTGAATCACCTAATAGTTCATTTCGACGGTTCCAAAAAATTGTACAGTTTCAAACAATGCAGGACTCATTGTTTGCTCAACACTGGGTCAATTTCATGCCAACACAAATACAGGAATCAAAGAAAAGACTTGATGGTATGACAAGAATCGATGCACATATAAACGAGAAAATAGAGCACGAAACTAAGAGAATCGAGAAACTCAAAGCATATTTATCTTACAAAAAGTACGGTGTACAAGATCCTCATCAGAGACATCAGCGACCGGCACGTGGACGGTCATCAACTTCAGCTTACACCAACAAATATACCACACCTTTTAACAAATATCAATTGCCTAAAACTCCAACCATAAGCTCTGTATCGGGCGCCACATCATCAAGCGCAAATTGTACAAGAAGTACAAATTTGAGTAGGCAAAGTGATACTTTTATGGAACATCAGCGAAATAAATTCACAATTTGAAACTCTAATATTAGGTTTATTTTTGGTGAATGCGAGTATTTAATTTAAGTGACTCCATAAATTCATTTCCTTTCCGGTTATCTTAAGACCTATTGCAAATAAATATTTTAATAATTTTTTTTTGTTTTTAGTATTTTTTCAAAATATGTTGTTGTTTTTTGTGGTTGTTGTGACTAACTAACATTACTCAGACGCAGGTGAGACTAATTGACCATGGAAGTCATCAGACGGGAGGTCCAGGAAACGACCTGTTTCGAAGGGTTCGGGCCAGAGGGAAAAGGAGGGGTTAGAAGATGTGGTGGCACATGCAAGTTATACATAATATTAGGAGATGGATACAAAAGGACTTAAGCAATTAAAAACTATAACCTTCCCAAAGAAATTAAGGAATAGAAAATTTAAATCAAAAAAGTTATTAATGAGCTTAATCAATGATATAACTTAATGATCATTGGTAGCAAACAACAACAAACAAACAAGCTTAATACGAGTAACTGAAGTAGATTAGCTTCTTGATAACTAACTCAATTACCAGTAGTAACATATGCGCACACACATGCACACATATGTACATACAGTATTAATATATGCGATCCAGTACTATAAATGGGCCTTTAGCAACGACCAACCGTTAGTATGTGGAAGAAATTTCAATAAAGTGGTTTTGACGTGAAAATGTGGAGACTTTTGCTTTCTGCCTTTCTGGCTAGTTGTGTTGCTGTACATATTCCTGGTGTACCACAGGAGTTTACTTCAAACGATCTTGTACTCTCTGGCATTTCGGGTATGTGCTCTTACAAAAAAATATTTAAAAAAAAAATTAAATAAAATAGCGAAAAATATTTATGTGATGTAAATGGTAAAAGCAAACGTAAAGGAGGTAAAATTTTCCTTTTCATTAAGCAATAAACACATACACATGTATGTACGTATGCATACTATGAGTACAGATACATATATATATATATATATATATATGTTTGTATAAATGTTTACATTCAAAGGCGAAATGGCATATTTTTACAATAAGCACGTTTCTTTCGATAACGTCTTGATCAGCAGCACTTTCATATTTTTAACGATCATAAACTAATGTAGCAAACCGTGAACCGATTCAATGATGATTAAATTTTTAGACAGTTTTTATTGCCTTTAGCTCCTTAGCTAATAGTTTAATATTTATGATTCACTTTTTATTTGAATTTGACAGATGAAATTGCAGAAAAGTTCTCGCAGGAATACATAAATTACCTTAAGACTGGTGTTGAGTCTGCCGCCCTTCGGCAAATCTCCGCTCAGCTGGCGAATGCGCATAGTAAAAAGGACCTCTTCACTAAAGAGCTTGAGGAATTGTCTTTGGCAGATCAATTTGTAGCCTGTACCACCTGTAGGGCCACCGTCAATGTTGGTGCTCGTTTGTTTCGCGAAGAGAATGGCGAGTTCACAGGTGAAGGAGCCGATGACAAAATAAAAAGTATTGCTTTGGATGTGTGTCTCCGACTTCAATTGCAGACGTCGGAAGTGTGTTCCAATCTGATTGATTTCAATTTTCCAACGGTTGCCTACATCGTCAAATACTCCAACATCGATTCCCGTACGTTGTGTTCGCTTTTCATGGAGTTCAATTTTTGCAATGTAAAGAATGCAAACTACAATTGGACGCTAGAAATTGACAGTGATGGCGAGGCAGTGACAGCGCCAAAGTCAGAAATACCCACAAAAAATGGAAATGAATTGAAAGTTTTACATATAACCGACCTTCATTACGATCCCTTGTATACACCTGGCTCCTTAGCTGAATGTGACGAGCCACAGTGTTGCCAGCGGGATGTGGAATTCATTGAGAGTACTAAGGCAGCTGGATACTGGGGTGATTATCGTGATTGTGACGCACCTTGGCATATGCTAGATGATGCCTTCGCGCAAATCAAGGCCGAACACACAAAAATCGATTATATATATCAAACTGGCGATGTCGTCGACCACATGGTTTGGGGAACTTCAGTAGAGAAAAATACTGAAAGTTTGAAAAAAGTTAACACTCGGTTGGCAGAAATTTTTCCTGATGTACCGATATATCCTTGTATTGGAAATCATGAGCCACACCCTTTAAATCTGTGAGTTTGATTTATTACCTAACTTATTCATAACATAATTAATTTTTAATCTAAATAAACTATCCGATTGGTTCTTATAGTTTCAGCCCGGGGGATGTGCCTGATGGAGTCAACACTCGTTGGTTGTATGAGCAGTTATATGAACAGTGGTCTACATGGTTGCCAGCCGATACCAAAAATACCATCTTGGAGGGTGGTTATTACACAGTATCTCCAAGAGTCGGTTTCCGAGTAATAGCTTTGAATAACAACGACTGCTATACCTCTAATTGGTGGTTGTTCTATGATGGAACTAACAAGATCCCACAGCTGCAATGGCTGCATGACACACTGTTGGCCGCCGAAAAAGCCGGAGAGTACGTGCACATTCTGACGCACATTCCCACCGGAGATAGTACTTGTTGGTCTGTATGGGCGCGGGAGTTCAACAGACTAGTGGAACGATTCAGGAATACCATCAGTGGAATCTTCAATGGTCATTCGCACAAAGATGAAATGCATTTATATTATTCGGCGAATGGACATGCGGTTGCTGTCGCCTGGAACGGTGGGGCACTAACAACATATTCTGATAGGAATCCAAATTATAGGTTGTATCATGTTGAGGACGAAAGCATGGTAAATAAATATTGTAGTTAAATATTGAAAAATAACAAGAAGTTTTCTAAAAAAAAAAAATTGTAAACTTTGAATGCACTAGCAAGTCGTAGATCATGAAACGTGGATCTTCAACTTAACGGAAGCTAACTCTCATGGCGATTCGAAATCACCAAACTGGTTTAAGGAGTATGAGTTCGCCGCTGAGTTTACAACAAATTTAAGTCCGGCAGGAATCGACAAATTACTAGAAGAGATGGCAGAAAACCCCAATAAATTGAGAACGGTATGTAGAACCATCCGCCATCTGACATTTGTATTTATTTCATATTTTAATAAATATTTTTCCTCACTGGGTACGTATTACATGATAGTTGTGGAGATATATAGTTACATCTGCGGATCCAAAACTAAATGCTGGTTGCGACAGGGCTTGTCTGCTTGGTGTAATATGCCGCATAGCGACGACTGTGAGTACCCAAAAGACACGCTGTGAATATTTACGTGCTAAACTGAGCATTGCGGTAAGTTGATTGATTTTATACAATTTTCAAATCAAATATATGATATAAATATAAATTCACACATTTCATTTACAGCTGGACAATGAGAATATAGTTACAGGCTCAACTGCTGCACCAAGCACTTCATCCTCCCCGGCTGCAACGACCAGTGAGGGAGGTGATACTTCCACCGAAAAACCCGGAGGAAATGGTGCGGTCTCAAAGAGCATCTCATTAAATTTCCTCTTTGTCGCTGTGCTTTTTGCAGTATTGTATAATGTTTGAAAAGCTTAAGAATATGTACATAGATAGGTGAAATGAAATGTTGTTTTTGTTATTGTATATTATTCATTATTTATTTGTAATTTTATTTATATATATATATATTACATACATATGTATGTAGAAGTAAAAATAAATCTAAACGACTTTATTAAATTTGGATTTAGGCTTGGTCGGCAGGCCTACAATTACTTTTGACTCATAGCCTGCCCCGTGAGATGGTGCTTGCTTCCAGCGGGAAGGGTAAACAAGAAAAATGCTACATGCCAAATATTATGATGGATTATTTTGGTTGGATAAAATAGCACGACCAGTAAGACGAAACGAAATCGCAAGCAGTATCTGTAACCTCATTTGTTCACTGTCGCCCAGAGAACTGCAATCCGTATCCACTGCGTTTCAACAATTCTTACAGTTATGCAAGGATTCAAACGAATTATAACTCTATAGCTTTTAAATAAATTCAGAGCAAAGCGAACTTTGATTTTAAAAATTTCGAATGAGCGAAATCAGCCAATAAAGATTGCATTTAAAATATTTATTGCCATTCATAGTGAAGAGATTATCACAGCGATGAATATCGAAATACCTTTATTTGAAGTGTTTTTACATAAACGAAGGAAATTATTGAATTGAAATGTTTTTGTATGTGTGAGTAGATATGAATAGAATTGTATCCTCAGCCCTCTGTGCGCTGTTAGCTCCGGCAATAGTGCGGGAGTAGAGCTTGAATTTGATCCCTACTTTACTTCCCTTTAATTTTCCAATGTAAAGTATTCCAATTGTGATAAATAATCTTTTTCTACACATTGAGTTTGCAATAATTATAATACCATAAGGAAGAGAAATAGATCTACCAGACTTAATAATAGGATTGCTACTCTAAGTCATAGAAGTCATCAAATACATTATTAGATATATATTTCAGATGACCTCGAACATTGCCGGACAACTCAGGTGCCTCCGAATGTCTGAGAGCTGGCCTAGAGGTGAGCGTATTCTGAGAAAACCTGTTCTGTATTTTTTTCCGTTGCTCTGTCTAATATGGGTTCGAACCCATGACCTTCCCCATAATAGCGTCACTACTAGCCACTCGGCTTCAGCGGCCGCCAATGGCTTTTGTGTTGAATAAATTAATCTATTTAAGCACTCGGATTACCACAATTGAACTCTTTAAATTAATCGCTATTGATTAGTATCAACACGTTTCAACAAATAATTCGAGAGCAGCTGTGCGATTTCGTATGCCTACTTTTCGAATAAAAACAAAAAAATCTTTCCTCTTTATTACTTTTTCACTAAGTTTCACATATTTTACATACTCGTACATGCTTACCTGCTGGGTATTATCTGCATAATAATAATATCTTTTATTATTTGGCTTAAGATTAACAAAATGTATTTGTATTTGCATTTTATTGAACATTTATTAATTGATAAAAATTTGCGAACTTTGTTTAAATTCTAACTCGAACGATCTTTTGGATTTCTGATTCAGTCCATTTTTTGCTTAGATCCACAAACGACGATTAAATAGCTTTAAAATGCATTTTGTTGTTGTGCTGACAAGTTTTTTAGCTGTTTGTAGCGCCATAAACTTACCAGGTGTTCAATTGGATTTCACTGAGGATGATGAAGTGCTCTCATTAATTTCAGGTAAGGAAGTTTGATAGCCTTGGGAAGTGGCAAAAGAACGCAGAAAAGTAACCTACTACATTTGATCAGATTTGGACTAGTAGATATACTACACAGCGTCACGCCCCTCCAAAAATATTATTAGCCCTAATAGGCGCTTAATAACTGCTGAAGCAATTTTTCGACCGAGTGCCTCCTCCAATTTGTGGTATGCGTCTTGATGCTTGAATGTTAATGAAGGGAAATACAGTTTATTCTTAGCCGCCTCCGAACGGCCATTGAAATTTTAAGAGGTTCTTTTGGTTCATGTCAGAAATACAATCGGAGAGCTTCGCATTCCCCGCCGAAGATCGACCGCGATTTGAAAAATTAACTTTCTATAACTGGGATGTTGGCCAGGCGAGTACGCGCACCTTGGCCTTCAGCGCAATACTACGCAATATTAGCCCCTCGGTCCATTGAAATATTTGAGTTTTTCCCCAAATGTGGGTTAAATTCTACCTTTCATGATCAATTGAATAATGGTTCAATTAATGCCGAAATGGATTTCTGATGTAAATAAATTCAATAATTAAATAAGAAACATAATTCTTCAAAATACCCAATAAAATGGTTTGGAAAAACACGTAGTTTAATCTCAATATTGCTTCCAGATGAAGTAGCTCGCAAATTCGCCAAAGAATATAAAGCTTACTTGAAATCGAGTGTTGCATCGCCTGTACTTCAGCAGATCTCCAACCGATTGGCGTCCATACACTCTCATAAGGATATTTTCACGAGGAATGTCGTTGATTTAGGTGCTGCAGATCAATTTGTCGTTTGCACAACCTGTCGTGCCACTATGAGCGTTTTGGGTGACATGTTTCGCGATCCAGAAGGTGAGTTGAATGGCCCGTCAGCGGAGGAGAATGCCAAGAGTGTGGTGCTCGATATTTGTGATCGTCTTAAGTTGTCAACGAAGGAAGTTTGCACCGGATTATTTGACTTGAATTGGTCTATTGTAGAATATATCATACACAATACAGTAGCTGATACTCGCAGCTTGTGCGGGACATTACCCATTAATTTTTGTAAAGTCAAACAAACCGAGTATAATTTCAAACTGAATATCGATGCCAGCGCACCTACGGTGGAGAGTTCCAAAAGCGACATACCCGGCAAGAGTGGTTCAGATCTTAAAATAGTGCAGTTAACTGATATACATTATGATCCCGAATATGAACCTGGCGCACTAGCTGAGTGTGAAGAACCGCTGTGTTGCCAACGTAGTTCAAAAACCGCTAGCGTTGAGTCTAGCAAACAAGCTGGATACTGGGGTGACTATCGTGATTGTGATTCGCCACTTCATGTGATTGAAAATGCTTTCGATCATGTTCGTGAGACCCATGCAAACGTGGACTACATTTATCAGACCGGAGACATTGTCCCACACATTTATTGGGCAACCACTAAGGAGGGCAACAAAGCAATGATCACAAGAATGCATGAATTAATTGCGGAAAAGTTTCCCAACACACCCGTTTATCCCAATGTAGGAAACCATGAGACGCATCCATCAAATGTGTAAGTTACACATTTCCATGTACGTAAATGATTTTGTATTTAATAAAAGTTATCTTTAGGTTTGGTGGCACCGACGCTCCTTCCGAAATGAACGCCCAATGGCTGTATGAGCATCTGTGGTCTCTTTGGTCCAGATGGTTACCAGCAGATGCAAAAACGACTGTTCTCAAAGGCGGCTACTATACGGTTTCGCCGAAGACGGGGTTCCGTATTATTTCCATAAACAGCAATGAGTGTTATCTCTACAATTGGTGGGTCTATCACAATGGCAGCATTGCTATTGAACAACTTCAATGGCTGCATGACACTCTGCTCGCCGCCGAAAAGGCCAATGAATATGTACACATTTTGTCACATATCCCATCAGGTGATGCGGATTGCTGGAATGTTTGGGCCCGAGAGTTTAACCGTATTATTGAGCGTTTCAATAAAATGATTGGTGGGATTTTCACTGGGCACACGCATGTGGATGAGTTAAATGTGCATTATACGTCGAATGGGCATGCAGTAGGCATATCGTGGAATGGTGGCAGCTTGACGACTTACTCAAACAAAAATCCTAATTATGTGGTCTATGAGGTGGAGCCAAAGAGTATGGTGAGTAAGCTAAGGTTGCCTTCAGGGACTCGTTTGAAAATTAATCTGATATTAGCAAGTTGTTGATTATGAAACATGGATTTTCGATTTGGAGCAAGCTAACGTGCAGGGCATGAGCGGTAAGCCGGAATGGTTTAAGGAATACAGCTTCACTGAATTCACCAGTGATCTTAGTCCTGCTCACCTAGATTCATTGTTAGACCGGCTGGCTGAGAATCCGGATTTATTGCAAACGGTAAGTAAATGTGCAGGGTAATAAAGGTCATTACTTAAGCTCTGTCTATAATTCCGAATATACTCGTATAGTATTGGTTATATAAGCACACCACGGCCAGACCACGAGTGGAGAACGGTTGTGATCGCAAGTGTTTGTCGAAAACTTTGTGTCGCTTGGCAGTAACTGTTTACGACCAACGGACACGTTGCAAACAATTGCAAGCTAAGTTAGAAGCAAATGTAAGTATGATTCGAGAACTGAAGTAAGACTTCTCTAAACAAAAGCCCAAATCATTAATTTAACTCTTTTATTTATTGCAATAGCTACCAGCGGTGACAACTGAAGCCCCGAGCACTGAAGCGTCGACGACGACTCAAAGGCCTGGCACTACTGAGAAGCCCTCCGGCAATACTGCAGCTGAAATATTTGGCCCGCATCTGGTAACAATCATGATTGTTCTGCTTTTTGCTACATTCCCACACTAAAATCTTGAGAATCCTTCAAATATGCTTTACAGTTTTCTTGCTAAGAAATATACAGATTAACCGTAGAGCACAGATTTGAATATTTTTATACAGTGTGATCATTAAAACATGCAATAATTTAAAAAATACAGCACATACATATATTATATATTAAGAATTCTTAGCATTCTGGCATTGATAACTTGTTCCACAGACTGTCCAAAACGCTAATTTCGTAGCCTACAATTACATGAGCGGTATACGCACTCACTCCTGTAGCTATTTCAACATCTTCCTAAAGAAAGTCCGAGTTCTTCCTCGTCATCTTCTGAAGCAAGATAGCTTTACAAATGTCCTATTCTTTTGGAAATTATATTCTAGCGACATCTATAAGACGCAGTTGTAAGTTGCTGTGGCTAAATCCGAAATGAGAATACTCTCTTCGCTTCTATAACAGCTAAAATCCGCTTGAAACATATCCACTGATGCTGAGAAAGAAGAGGTGCTCCACGAACGAAATGATGCCATTTAATTTCGTTAATATGAGAAACAAACTTACCGATTTGATTTGGTTTCGTTTCAGCGTCATTCCGTCAAACCAAATGAAGCCGCACAAACTCATCGTTTTACGTTAAATGTTTAACATTATCTGTCAACGATTTGATATTAACGACAGAGTTTCGGTTGGAGAAAAAATTAAATAAGATTTATTTTGATCACTGCTTTCATGATAACCTTTCCGAATGTTTCTCTCGAATCCACGGGAATTCAGTGATTAACATGAATTTTATCATTACGATGCAGCCTTGAGAAAAACGAAATGCCATGGCTACTTCCCAATGATCAGGAACAAACTTTTGAGCTCTTATTCACGTTTATTTTATTGGAATTTTTTGTTTGCTTTTTATGAATAATTTTCTCTACAATTATTTTTAAATGCATGCTAGTACAATACATACATACATAATTAATATACAGGTCCATATGACAAATATTAACATTTTGTATTATTGTTGGGGACACATTACTACGTGTACATACATCTCAGCTCCTGGATTCGCAAAATAAGAATAATGTTGGGGATTGTCGTAATCGGTATGTATGTATATATATATACAATGCATGCTTTACGAACTAAGGAGTACTAAGTTCATACTTTCAGAAATAACCGTGTTACTAGTTCTAAATCAATTTCTATGCTTTATTCTTTATGGTACACTTATTTATATAATTGAAAGTCGTCATGTCTATTTCTCAAGGAATTTGGTCGTTATTTTTTTCAACGTTTGTTTTCATTACGTACATACATATGCCAGTGTATAAGTATATTTATTACACTTATAGCGCACACACAAGTGTTGCTATGTCCAGATCATTTTCATCGGCTTTTCTTAACATGATGGCAGCATGATTTTGATACCTGCCAGTGGAAATCAAGCGTGCCGTAGTAACGCCGCAAAAGATTGCCTGTTCGGGTCCTGCGAAGTACAAATGAAAGCAGTTATGTGTTTCAGAATATTTTTCTTTTCTGGTTTTAATTTAATTAATTACCCTGCTGCTCGGAAATTCCGCAGACATCTGATGCCTTCTCCATTGCGTGCGAATCCAATCCAGAAGAGCCACCGATCTCTAAGCGATCCTCAAATGTGCCACACTATAATTAAATTTATTCCTTATTAGCATTTCCTGATATATATGTATATATATATATATGGTTTTATTTGTTATACATCATAATTGACTTTGTCGCCACGCACGTTCTTGCCGCCGATTTTCAGACTGGTCACAGCCACTGCGGCTGGAAAGAGAGCTGTAAGTGTGCAATTGCGTTGATTGCCGAAATTGGCCATGTTGAAAACAGCGGCCGTGTCCTGCACCAGCACGTTACAAGCTGCCTCGCGCGAAGCAAAAGAGAAAAAAGCAGAATTTAAGGAAAGAAATATACAATGAGAGACTTAAATCAACCATTTATGGGCGTTTCTGTCAGAGGAACAAAGCCCAGCAGGTTATACGGAAAATTTGTCAGTTTGTTTCTACGGATCTTGGAATGGCTTAGTATGTAATTTCTTTTCGGGCAGTGAACCAGGGACTTACTTATTTGCTTAGACTAGTTTCTTGCAATACCAATTAAAATAGAGATTGGACAAAATACAAAATACAGAAATCCACAGGAATGTGTGGACGGGTCTGCTGTTGATTTTCAAAAACCGCATTATCAAGAACTAGTTATTTGACTATACTTAATTTTTTTCTAGCTATTTTCAACGCCAATAACTGTCTGTTATACGAGAATTTATAACGCCATGATTTTACCCAAAAAGAACTACAGAATACCATTTCCAAGAACATCTATGCCTATAAAATAAAATTAAAAAAAAAAATTAAAGTAAAAAACGTTGTAAATTATATTGTTCCAATCTCAAACCGTACGACTGTCCCATAACTGTTCAGCATAACGGAAATACACACATCAATATACTCGTACAATATCTTCGCAGGCGTTTCTAACTACATATTACATTGGGCTTACACTTACGTTGTGTTATCTTATGGAAGCGTACGTGGGCGATGAATGAGCCACGGAAGGGTATGCGATATTGCAGCAGCGCTGCATTTTGGCTTGAACGGAAAAATTTCTTATTGGCTACGCGTGGCCTGCAAAATAAACAAATTTGTTGAAGTGCTTTTGATGCATTTTCCTCTCTCTGAACCACATCCTTACGCCCTAGGACATGCTTACCATTGTTTATAGTTGTTGCAAAACTCGACAACACGCTCCTCCAACTCGCGATGATGGTCCTTGATGCCCGGAAAATATTCACCATTCAACTCCCAACCATCAACGAACTAAAAAGAAAGAAAGAAGAAAGTGAAGTGAATAATTTGAGTGTGGAAAGTGCAACAAAGTGTATTGTATTAAGCCTTGGTCCTTTTGTCCAAATTCAGTTTGATGACTACTTCGGACACTTCATTGATGTGCAATAACTTTCTTCTGCTAATGGTTGAGTACTTGTGGTTTTGACCTTTCTTTTCTTGCCATATACACATACATACGTGTATGTAAAGAATTGTTTTAGTTTCTCTTACTTACAGCCATTAGGCCGCCGGTTGCACAATTAACGTCATAGTGTTTCATTGTTATTTCCACAATGGTATCCGGCTCGCCAATCACATAAAGGCCGCACACCTCGGACGTTGACTCTTCCAGAGCAGCTTCCACCAAAGGCATCTCCTTGACATTGGCCATCAAATGTGGCACTTTTTTAAAGACATAATCGCCCGGCTCGGATGCAACATGCATGCAATCTTCAGCAGGAATGAAACGGTAAAGAGAGAGAGGGAGAAAAGTTTTAAATCGTCGCTCAATACGTATTTTAATATAAATTGCTTAAAGAACTCTTTGCTAAGATTAAGGTATTGTAGTAAAGGCAAAAGAGCTATGCACATACAAATGCACCACTGTGTATAACCTAAAATATTCATTTATGTTTATCTGTACTCAAACTATTGGAGCACGATTTCCTCTTCTTTTTGTGCAAATACAAACCGTAATAATTGAAACGCATACAAGCGCTCTTACTATCTGCAGTTATGCACACTCGCACACATATACACGTATCTACAATGAATTAACTAAGTTCACTCCAAATATCATTTTATTGTTGATTTATGGCGGCTAAGTTTATTGCAATTTCGGCGACAATCGTAAGCTTCTCATTTCACCGTTTCTCTTTCAATTTTTTTTCCTTCGCGCACATATGGGCATTTTATTAGTTTATGACCAATTAATCACGAGCATTTTATGCGTATCACATACTGTGACGTCGTGATATTGGTTTGTTAATATGAAAAAAAAAAACACCAAACATGGGAGCTATTATTAAATATTATCATCGAACAGAGAAACTCTGAACAAAAGACAAAAACGCCATCGGCCGACCAATCCCTGTTAAGTGGTAGTATGTGTGAATGTATGTAAGTCATAAAATCACACGTGGTTTTCACGTGCGACTTAGGTTTTGGCTACTAACAGTCTCATATGGAGATCTATGAATATTGATCAGCCGATGCATCGGCAGGAGGTCAATTGAATCATATTTTATTACTCTAACATAGAATTTACTTAATGCTGGATGTCTGCTTAACGGTATATAAAATTAGCTGGTGTTCATTTTATCATGGGGATATTTAAATGATTATTTTTCAATTAATATTAGATTTACTCATTATGTTTGTTAGTTAATTTGTCATTTTTATTATTATAGAAATCCACTTCTGAATTATCGAATTTACTTTGGCAATAACATGATAATGTAAAGATTTGAATGCTTCAGGGTGGTCCAAAAATATATTGGAATACAAGAAATGTATTCAAAATGAATGAAAACCATGACGTTAACTGTATTTAAAAAAATACTAGTAGCTAACATTTTTTATATTATATACATATAATTGGTGCTTTGTAACCGCTGAAGCGATGGTTTTTTTATGAGGAGCCTTTATTTCATGTCAGAAATTCATACGGAGGGGTTTTTATTTAAATTAATTTTCTATAACTTTTGGATGTTGGTCGCACCTGGGCTTGAACCCGGGTCTTCCGAATGGTAGTACGCTATGCTAACCACTCGGCTACCGCGGCCTTAATAAAGAAGGGGCTGTGAAATATATTCATTTAAAAATCACTAATCCAAAACTGCGAAAAATCGTTGGCATTAAAATGTGGATCATAGTTATAGTTCCGAGTTTAAGTTAAGACTAATCTTTCCATTTATGTGTTCTGCGTTTTCTCCTAATTGTTAGATATTGCCACATATAAGATATAATATTGAGCTGGCCGTTCAACACCGCTTTTCGTTTCTGATTGAACGGATATAATCGATTAACCATTAAGTGCATATCCACTTTATGGAAGATTTAGCGATATAACCTTGGTTTGCGGGCTTAAGGAATGCAAAATGTGCAAGAATTGAAACCGAACGAGCTTTTAGCCCGTCGCAACTTCGGCAAATGGCCCCAAAACGGGATGATCACCGATCTCGTTTTTCACAAGAAAATTTTATTTGAATTGTCGCATTGGGAGCGATGATATTTCACAAGTCATTGCCGAAACGCCATTACACTCTCAAAAAGTCGCTGTTTGATATGCTCTAAAGGCAGAGGGATTCATTGGTTACTGTTTCAACAAAAACATTGACATGTTATAGTCAATCGTCGAGTGCATTATGTAGCGTACACGCCAAGATTTAACACCGCTGGACTTTTGGTTTTGGTGTTCTGTGAAGTCGCTTGTATGTGCGCATAGGCCTGAGACGATAGACGTCATAACAATAAATTATATGCGTTTTATTTCTTTTAAAAAAGTATGCATATGTGTAAAAAAATACCCTACTATTATATGGGCGTAATTAAAAATATGAAGTGAAACCAGGTCGCTCTCATCCTTTCCTGACTTTGCTCAAAAATATCCAAGTCCTTAACATATCCCAGATAGAAGTAATTTAAAATTTATCGATGGTAAAATGCTGGTTATTTCAAACATGTAATAATATGTTTAGCATAGACTAAAATTAAGGGCGGGAAAATCCATTTTATAATTTGAATATATCAATTCCAACAACAATATGCCAGGCAGACGGTATACGTGGATGTACATATGCTCGTATATATTTATCAATGTAGGAAATATAATGAATACTAAATATTGAAACGATGAAATCAAGACAAACTTCTTAAACGCGCATATCTCTGTATATATGTATGTATGTCATGCATGCGCTTGTTTCTATATTTAGAAAATGTAAAAACTTTTAATTACTTATTATGGAAAAGCTTAGAAAAAATGCTCTTATCGACGAATCGCTTAATTAAGTCCGTCAAAAACAATGTTCTGATATTGGAAGACATACATACAAACAAACAATGAAAAGACTTACCTGAAATTACGTGAATATGAGCATACGCGTCATTGGGGAAAAAGTCAAACGATTTCTTCACCATTGGCCAACCCTGAAAAGAATGAAAATAAAATTTAAATATATAAACTGACGGTTATGTATATATATATGCATGTGGATATACGTTTGTAAGGAACAGAAAGAAATGCGAAGAGATGCTTTAAGCACTCTCTAGGATTGCCATGAGTGGTTTTTTAGAGACAAGTTTTCTAAAAATTAAAACTGATTATGAATTCTCATACATTTTTGTGTATCGATAATTTTAGCACACTCAACAAACTTATATAAAACTCAAATAAATCACCACTCCCACAATGTGAATTTTAGTTTTGTTTTGAACACTTTGATACATTGCCAACCTCATATTTACCGATTCATAACTATATACGAATATATTTACTGTACGAGTGCACGAGTATGTTTGTATGTACGAGTACATTTCACTTTTAAACAGTCACTTTGCTCCTGCGAGTTATTTACTCAAGTTTGGCTGCCAAAGCAACTTTGTTGCTGACAAACCCGGAAGTGGATCAAATAATCATAAGCTGTACGCGAAATATTTGGCTACTAACATATTCACACACACACACACATCCTCTAACAATAACTCGCGGCAGCACGTAGTTGCCACTTCCACACTTCCATCGACGTTGCTCAACTTTGCTGAATGCCTTTAACCGTGTTAACTGCAGGGATTTGTTAGAGTTTTGGATATTGACTTTTAACTGTTGCGCTTGCACGACAATAAGGAAATATGTACGTGTGAGCGTAATGAAATCTGAGAAGTGCCTTAACTCACTATTTTCAGTTTTACAAAAGAAGCAAAACAAAACGGTACATTTTTTTCAGAAATAATAAAAGAAATTGAGCTTTCATCATTTCCACTTAGAGCAGCTTATTTAAATGTCCGAAATTTGTGAGAAAATCCACAATTTATGTGAGTAAATGTGCCTATGAATGTCATTTTCTTTTCATCAACAACTGTATGTGCTTTAATCCTTACTTATGTATGTAAAAAGAGGGAAAGAAATATAGAAATTTATCAAAAATTCATTCCCCAATTCATCTTGTCCTTACGAATTGATTGCAGACGTTCAAGATAGTAATCTTCTTATTGGTAATTCTTTGGAGACAAATACAATTACGATTAGCTTTAGAAAAAGGTTTAAAGTCAAAAATTAAAATAAGTAAGTATTTCATTCAAAGACAAGTTTAATTATATTATTGGATTTATTTATTGTTTTGATTTATTTTTAGATATTTGGCGCTCAGCTGAGGGATTTTTATGCCAAAGACGCACTAATAGAGATTGAAATTCCCTATCGAGGGGCTACTGTAATTCGAGCAAGAAAGAAGAGCTGTCTTCGGCCATTTCTTTATAACTTTCATGATCATATCAAACTTACGGTATTTGGTTTTCGGACTAAATATAAATGGTCATATCTGAAAAATTGGTGAGCGAGGACTATATGAAGAAGTTTTTCGATGTCGATGAATTTCGGTGTCAATGTTTACTTGTAGATACGTCGCCAGGGTTTTGACCAAAGCGTCTAAAAAAATTGTCGTCCCATTTCAATATTTTTTGGATCCATTTTGTTATTTAAATTTCACGTTTATAGATGTTCAACAAGCTTATGACCCAAATCTCAAATCTACAAAATCGATAGTATGTATGATCTGACACCAGTGGATCTGTGTACTAAGCTTAATTGAAATATCTCAAAAACTGAGGGAGTAGTTTGCACAAAAAAGGGCATGGCTAAATTAATTTAACTCGTCATTGTGACACGACCGGTATTTTCCTCTTGGCATCTGCATACTTCGGACCCTAATTAATACTACCATTTCGTCTACATTAAAGGTATACAAACTGTTGGTCTGGCAGGTATTCAACCCCACGCTCTGCTATACCATGCAGTCACTTCGGTTGCCTTATAAGTAACAGATTCGAAAATTTCCCGTTAACTTAATTAGCTTTGCGGCCCTTGGCCAATGGCATTCAATGTCCCTCCCTACGCCGTGAACTACCAGATGTAACCCAATAACCGATTAAACACTATTTCAGCAATTTACAGTTATCCTAACAACAAAGTTGTCATAACAATTTAATTATAGATTTATTATTACGAACATTATCATCACAGCTTTGAAATGAGTTGCATAAGCGCCATTATACACCGAGAAGAAACCACGGAAAATGCAAATGAATGAGGAATAAGAAATTTGAAAACAAAAAAGTTTGCAGCACACTACGTTGTTTACATTTCAGCACTTAAAGCAATTAATAGGAAAAGATGCAGTGCGCCAAGGTGGGTGGTGTACAAGTCTGGCGGGTGGTGTATGTTTTGATCAAAGTCGCCATTTTCATAAGCTTGCAAATAAGTTGTTAAAGAGTTACAAAGTGTATATATGTATATGCATATACCCTTGGTATTCAGTATATATTATAATATATGTTTGTATATGCAAATAATACTAATCTTGGTATTATGTAAAACTGCGGACTTAACGACCATTTTCTCAGAATTAATTCACTGTTATTTTCCTGAGAAAAGAGTTTATAAGAAATCGTTACTTTACAATGCAAATAGTTAGATATTCAGTTCCTATAATTGTGCAATTTTGCGCGGTTAACATAATTTAAGAAGCTTGATGCTGAGGTGGTAACGGCCAAAGTTGAAAAAACAAGAAAAATTATAAGTGTTCTCTGCAATAAATCACGCTGGAGTCGCATAATTTTACAACATACTTCACATATAGATGAAGAAAAAGAAGCAGAGGAAGAAGATGAAGGAGAAGACAACCTGCGAATTTGTCAAAAGACTTAACGTTGTTGAATTCATTTGTGGCAAAAGATTCTTGAGAATCTACAAAGGCCTGCTGTGAGAAATCAAGTAACAAATCATTTGTAATCGTAAACAAATCGTAGGGTTAACTCAGTGGGAGGCGTTTAAAGTTTTATATTTTTCTCGCATCCAAAAGCAATGCAAGCCCATACAGCAATTGAGTAAAAAACCATAACAAAATAGGCGTGAAATTGCGGTTCAGCTTTTTATTGATTCCCTCAAAGTTTGTCCCTCGAAATTGTATGGAATCGAAAAAAATGGCCAACAATTTTTTATCGAAATATAATTTTGTATGTTCGTATTTGGATATTTTTGGAAATTTGATTAACATTAGCATTTCAATACCGTAAATAAGCTACAATTGATTACAGTTGTTTGTATGCAGCACTCAGCCGGCGGCATTTACAATACAAACGCAATTCAATTACATTTCAGTGTGGTCTAGCAATTCATGAAAGGGCAGGGTATGCTCCTCAGAAAGCGAGACAATCAGTTTTAACGCTGAAATTTGGTTTGTACAGAAAGAATTTTCATAAAAACATGAGCATAAAATTGTGATTTTTATCAGCGTCATAGGACTATTGACCTTGTCTACTATATTTATATTAATATAACTGTATTTTGGTATTCATGCGGTCACACATTAATTAACACCAAACGAACTGCCGGTGGACATAATGTGGGTGGCTCATATCAACATGACAAAAACCGTAAGTACAGTAACGTATTTTAATGCGATTCATCATAGGAAAGGATTTTGACATTCCATGTAGTATTTTTGGAAAAATACATTTAGGTACACACATATTTTTGTTTTTTTCGGCGTTTTTCGTGAACACTATAACAATTCACTGAAATAATTTCATTAGCCTTTTGAATTGATTATATAATAAAAATAGTAGACTCTGTGCCCATTTTGTTGCATATCTTAAGGCTGGAAACGAGTTTTGATATTGTTTGCCAATTCTAAAAGAAAAGTTTCAGCACAAATATTTCGGCTCTCAACTTCATAATTGCATATATTAACATGACAATGCCCGTCACATTTGCATTGGAAAGACGCCCAAACACAAAGGCGATATTTACTCACAAGGGATTTTCACTCAAAGGACATTGGTCTGTATCGCTCATATTAATAAACTTTTTGTTGATTTTGTTGGTTTAGCCAAATGTTATACATTCAACCTTTTCAGGGATCTACGTATGTACGCTTTTAATTGTTTTCCATTATATGTACGTAGCAAATGTTGTAAAATAACTTACATACATACATATCTTAAAGTCAGAAAAAATTCAAATAAATATTTTAATTTTAAAGCGAACAATCTATTCTCACAGAACTAAATCAATTTACCATGGATTTGAAATTTTTTGTTTACAATTTGCTCTTTGACAATTGCTGACAGTTGAGGTCCCTGATGACAAGAAGTTGACATTGATGATGATTTCCATAAATCCAGATAAGGCTAATGACAAACTGATGACAATGCTACGACTGGTTAAGCTTTGATTGCCAAAATCTCATCATTCATACTACAACACGCACACGCACACGCACAACTGAACTGAACTGCAGTGCATATAAATAAACCTGCATATCTGTATGTGTGAATATACTCGTACTTATCTACTGTTGTGAATATGAATTGGAATGTTAATTTAACGCATAGAAAATGAATGTTATATATAGAGGGCTATCCATTTTGAGGAACTGAAAATAACATATCTAAATTGCATTGAAAATAATTTTTTTTTATGAAATCCTGTTTTTACTATAAAGTTTGAGCTTTAGAATTATATGTGAAACACTGCCAGTATATAAATCTAGTGACCCCCTTGCGGATTTCGGCAAACTTCGATCCGTTCGCGGTGATTTTTGACCACTTTTCGACACATTTTGGCTAATTTTTAAGTCCTCAGGAGTTAACGGTTTATCCGCATAAACACAGTCTTTGTCGTAGCCCCACACAAAAAAAATCCAACGGTGTCATATCGAAAAATTTCGGCGCCCAATTGACATCGCCAAGAGGCGAGGTTACGCGGTAGGGAAATTTTTCTCGTATTCACTGGTGTTGTGCGGCATGTGGTACCGTGTTCTTCAGGTAGGTTAAGAAAAGTCTGTTATCACATGTTACGATGATCTAGTCTTCAAATTTCTTTAGCAATTTTACCAATTGCTTTAGTAGTTGGACTATTTGTGCTCCAT